GCATGTGGATACTATCAGAGGTAAGAAACCAAGTCAAACAAGTTCTGCCACAGCCTCCCAGTGCTGCCTCAGGGTGACCCTCAAGGACATTAAATGCTGGATGAAAGCGTTGCAAGCACAGCAAGTGATAATCTCTGGTAATGCCAGATTTCTTTGGGGGGCCCAAGCAGAGCATCATCCCCCCTATTTCGAGAAACACGCTGCTGGAAACTTTTTCGCTCTATATTTGCTCTACGAAGGACTCTTGCAACAGCCATTTGTGATAACGTATCTGCCCAGTAATAAACCAGCTATTGGTTCCTCATCCTCAGCGATGGTGCTTCTACCTCAGCCAGAGCCTGAATGTTTCTCGACAGAGAAGGGGATGTTAGCTGCCCTTTAATCGCTTCAGTAACATATCCTAAACGTTCTGCTGGTGGGGACTGTGGGCATCCTGACTGCGAACTTGCTCAGAAGAAGGAGCCATGGGCAAATTTGGGCTGGGTGGTTTAGAGGCAAAGATGTCTCATGCATAAATGCACACCGTGATCACCGGAGCTGCTCACAAGCCATTTGCCAACAAAAGGAGAGATGAGGAGCTGTCTGTGTGGGAAGAGAAGCTGGCTGAGAGCAGATCTGCTGCTCTTTGTAACAGCATTTGACAGAATAAACAAGGAGTTTAAGAAAGTAAGCAAAGCATGTGTGTCCTTCTCTAAAGAGCATGAAGACAGAGGGGCAGCTTTGGCTCTGTGAAATAGATCACCACAATGGACAGGCCGCGGCCAGAATAAAGAGGGGCCCTGCAGTGGTAACTGCCCGCTCCCACCGTGTATTGTAGGTACTGCCAGTGGGCTCCCGACATGTCCAGTGGCGGGCTCTGACACAGCCGCGCTCATGATAGATGGCAGAAGCGGGAAAGATTAAACCATCGTTCTCAGAATGAACTGCTCTTCATCTTCAAAACAAGCAGATTGAGGAACACCGTGACCTATTCCTGCAGGAACAGGCAGACCCGCTGCTGAGTGGCTCTTAGGCAATATGCGAGCCCACACACAAAGGGAGCGCGTGTAAATGTCTCAGGGTGCCGCCAGGCACGGGTAAAAGTCTGCGTTTTCCTCAAATTCTCTCATCCAAGGCTCTACCTTCTCTTCGCCCGCCTGCTCCCCTGCCCCCAGCTGAAGATTTAGCACCCATGCTTGCTTAGTGTTGTATTTTAAGTGTAAGAAAGATGCGTGTTCCAAGGCCTTGAGTCATATCATTAACTATAACTCAGCTCCATTTCTGACGTGATTAATTCTTGTTTTTTCAATTAGAAAATAAAAATCAAAGGATTGTGGTTTTGATCCCCTGAACATACCATAAATTTTTTTTTTTTTTTTTTTTTTTTGATCAGTTTTCCAAGGCAGTAACAGTGTATTTATCTCAAACTTAAAATGGAGCAAACCAAACAACTTCGGTAACCACTGAGCTCAAGCTGAATGCCTGCATAGGAACGAGAGAAGTACAGGAATTAGTCTCCTAAACTGGAAAAAAATCTTTCATTTGGGAGTTCATTACAACCAAATTCACACAGTGCATCATTGTTATCAGGTTGCTTACCCCAGAAATAACAACCGCACACCCCCAAAAACCCACCCTACCAAAGCCAGGTGCAGTGACAGGAGGTGACCTTTCCTTTGCAGCACTGGAGGAGCTGGGGTGTGTGGTGACATGCAGACAACAGCCCGGGAGGCCTGCAAACCCCAGCGAGCACCAACACCTCCCGAGAATCTCTGCCTGGGGAAGGATACAAATGACGAGTTTGGGGTGGCAGCTGTAGTCACCTCTGCTGTCCACTTCAAACGTTCCTGGGGCTTGAGTCGGTCGCAGTTGTCAACGGATGAAGTGTGTCACTGCTGCAGTGCAAGGCAGTGAAGAGCAGCAGCCAGCTGGCCACACACCTCTAATGGTGAAGTTGGCAGCCTGCTGCTTCGATACTGACTTTCCTTCTGTTCACTGCAGGGAGCCGTGCAACCCTGCTGCAGGTGGCTAGCAAGCACCTTCTCCCAAGAGTATCACTCCTGCAGGGAGAGTGAGATGTGGAGGAGTAAATGGGGCCATAGACCCATCTATTTGGTTTGGTGGTGTTTTAGGTTGCTTTAAGGGAGGATTTGACTAACTTCAGGGATTAAAACTAAGTCTGCTTGTCAGTCACCACGCAGTGACCAAGTAATGCAACTGTCAGTAAAACAAACAGGATTTTAACAACTTTACAGTAGCTTGAAGTTGCCACGATTCATTCTCTCCTTCAGGCTCAGAGAGCTGAACACCAAACATCTTCACAATCACTATTTATCTTCCTTTCTAGTAACTGTCTGGTAGGTTTTAAATTGAACCTTGATAAAGCAAGAACTATCACATCTGTCATGAGCAGCAATACTTAAAATAACGATACGAACTCTGACAATAGAACACAGATGTACGTTACGTGTTTTTACCAATGACTCACGGCTCACTAATTAAACAGTCAGGGAATTGTTTTCAAATGTTTATATTATTTCTATTAGATTACTCTATTTTGTTATGAATGCATCCTAATTTATGACAGCTAATAGCTTTGGAAGTTGGGGTTTAGTTCTGCCTGTCTCCCCCTTCCAGTGGGGGCTGGTAACCCACCAGTCACTTTCAATCCAGTTTCCACAGCCGGCGCAGCAGCAGCTGGAGCCAGCTCTTCGAGGAGTTGTGCCAGACTTTTCCCTGCGTGCTTATCCATGAGCATTCTTCCCTCTGCCAGTAAGTACAGGCCCTCCCATTCCAGGCCAGCGAGTCCTACTCACAGCTTCCCTGTCTTAACCCCCCATTCCATTCAGCAAATGCTGACTCCTGGTTAGCTCAGTTCCACCTCAAGTTTCAACAGATAAGGAAGCTCAGACGTGTCAGCCAGAGGGCCTGCTCTGCCTCTTTCCACATTTTTCTGTTAACATCTGGCATACTCACTATACACTTTGCCCAGTGAAGCAGAAGTATCAGATCGGCTATCTATGCAATGCAAATACATCTAGAATTTCAGTTATTGGCCAGAATTGATAATACTGTAGTTAAGCTGCTGTTGGGCTAATAGTCTTAAATGCAGTAGCTTAAACCAACACTAAGTAGCACCAGAGAGGATTTAATGCTGCAGTTTTCCCCAGATTTTTCAATACACATAGGACCATGACGCTTCTCCCTTTTTCTCATCACTACACAGCAGTTGTGCACTTCGAAGGATGCCATTATGCACACGCTCGCTTGTTTCCCATCGCTACAAAATGGCATTCCATTCTTTCTCTACAACTGCTTTTTGCCAAAGAGTAAATTTTTCTTCTGCATGCTTTTGTTTCCTAACCCACTCCCAGCTGAACTGTGACCTCACAGCCGAAAGACCGACCCCTGCTTAGGTTGCAGTTCCTTTTCTTAGGTCAGATAGGAAAGAACTCAACCATGCATTAAAATAGAAGCTTACTAAGTCCTGGTTCACAGCTCTCTCAGTTTCCCACTGCTGCTCCAAGAGCTTTATAAAGAGCTCTCACTCCTAGGGGAAGGACTTCCCTTCCCTCTCACCCTCCACCTCACCAGCACTGAACCAGGGAGAAACATTTTCCTCTTCTAAACTAGAGTTAGCTGCCAGGTAACTTCTGAGTTCAGATCTTGCAGTGAGGACAGGAAGTGCTTCATTGCGCTAAATCAAGTTTTCTGGAGACTTTTTATTTATGTAACTATCAAAAGACTGTCCTCCAGGAAAGTTATCTTTAATGTTTCCTCCAGAGAAACAAGAGGAATAGGGGAACAAAAGGAAATCCAGTATCCAGGTTTGTTTTCTTCTTGTACGAGACTAATCCATAGAGGGTAGAAGTTTAATTATCTTAGCGTAGATAAATAGCATGTTTGTTTAGTGCTCTCAAGTGTATTTCCAAACTAAATAAGCAGAGCAATGCTGCTGTTTACACCTGGATTCCCCAACCTCCCTTCATCGACTAACAACAGATCACACACTTTCTCAGACTAAGTACAGGTGGGACTATTTTTGCTCAGTGAATGCTTTTGGACACCTAAAAATGCTGAACATAACATAGCATATATTTACATTTCCACAAAATTATTTATTTCCACCAGATATATATATAGTGACAGTGATGCAGACAGAAGCAAGCAAGGAATGGAATATTACACCATCACTCTTATTACCAATATGCACTTAGACTTAACTCTGTATTGCCAAATAAAATGGTTTCCTTTAAATTATATAGTGGTATTTCTTTTAACTGAACACATACAAAGAAATGCACAAGTAGAACACGCCTTAAAAAAATAATCTGCTGACCATTGCAAGTTATAATGTAAATTAATACTGCACCATTTGTAAGGAAACACCTTAAACAGAAGAGCAAGATTTTTAATTGAGGAAAAAGATCACTTACATAGCTTAGACTGCTTCTGAAGTGTGATTTTATGCTTAGTTTCGGACAGAACAAAGCTGGAAATCCTTTAACTTCACAGTGTATATCAATGATCTGAGGTTATTCTGCAGGTGATATCTTACTAAGACTACCAATACCACCCATCCTGCACAAGCAAAGCATTCACCTACTGTTTAGACATTCCTGTTTGACAAACAGCATAGTTAACAGTAGCACACTGAAGGATACATTGACTCAAGAGAACAGCTGATGAAAATATTTTCCTGTATTTAAATGAGATGTAATTACAACTTCACTAAAATGAACCATTCCCTTTATAATGGAAGTTAAAGCACTCCCAAAGCATTGTCATAAATCCTCTGTGACCCTGTAACAGCACACATCAGTTCCCAGATGTTTAATAGGAGGTCATTCCTGACAGTGTACACAGTCACATACACACATGAAACAAAGAAAGGCTTGTGTACTGACTTTACAGATTCACCATGAATTTCTTGCTTGGATTTGCTAGGACAGCCACCATGATTTACCTCACACACCTCCTCCTCCCAAACCTGTATGAGACCACAGTTCCTCTATAGCAGACTATGAATCGCTTCTTTCATTGCCAGTTTGTTTTCTTGCTGGATCAAAATGACTGCCTTCATACAAAATTTTGTTCCTCACTGCTTCTTTAAGCATTCTTTGCCGGATCCTTTGTTGGGCCAAATTGTACCTGCAGTAAAACCTAGAGGAGGGGATGAAAAGAAAACACAATTCCTTGCTTTATATGAGTGACAGTATCAAATTCGGCCAGCTGAAAAGTTTAAACCACATATAATAATGCTAGTAAAATTCATTATGGAACAATGCATCGTGAAAATACTAGGGTAACTGCTATTTCTTTAAGGTAAGTATTATGCAGCCACTGAGGAGCGGGATGTACAAGTCCAATGGAAAATGCTGATTTTTATAATGTAGATCATAATTTCATGACCATTTAGTATGCTGCCTTTGTAATCAGGACAGAAGGATGGCAGAGGTAAAGGAAAACCAGAAAGACTTAAGAAAGATGGAAATAACTGGGTGGTTTGATCTCTTAGGAGCCATGAAACAATAGCAAGCCTTTTTAAAAAATACATTAACATAAAAATTCAAAGACATTGAACCCTTCTTTTACAGAAAATAAACATTTTGGGGAGAAAGAAGAGGATGCTTTGTTAGGCAAGTGTTTTTTTGGAGTTTCAGAAACAGTGTGGAAGGTCTAACAGGGATCACGTTGTACAAAGCAGCCAACATAGGTCTGTCAAAATTCAAGAACTGTTTTACATACCAGTATCCTAACGTGGTACAAATAAAGCCACCAACTGCAAAGTCACAAGATCTTCTAACTCTACCTGAAAGAAAAGACAAATATTCTCAAAAATAATTAGAGAAAACCCCTGGGATTATTTCCCATTATTAATAAAACCTAACAGCAAATAGGAATGAATTCTTCCTAGCAAATAAATATATAAAACCCAGAAAGAATAAGTACTTACTAGTTGCTAAAAAATATCCAAGGCCCACAACTAAAGATCCCACAGAGCCATAGAGCACTGATTCTCGTGCACATGGGACACTCTGAACATCAAGAAATCCCAGGAGTTTAAAGGACTGCAAGAAAATAAAACAAAACATAAATTAAAAACATTACTTTTGTAGAAGTCCCCGATTCCAACTCCATTGTAAAACCAAGATGTTATCTTAGCAATCAAAAACAACCACTTGAGGATTTTTGTTTAAAACCAAAGCACATCACAACAAACAGATAAGGCTGCAATTAATTATGCAGTTAGTTATGCCACATAGTGTTAATATTTGAAGAGTCAAGTGTGCTTAATAAAGAAGTGCCATTACTGGAGAATGGGCATGTAGAGAACCGTATACTGAACCCTGAGTAAAACCAATTATAAACCAGTAAATTTTAACCTAATCCTATGTATATAGAGGAGCTGTGTGCAGAAATTTGTCTATATATAACACGTGCTTAAATGAAACTACTGTTAAAAACAACTCAATTACTTCATACTCAGTCTCACATCTACAGCCTACCCTAGCTTGTATCTATTAGCTTTCTGTTTAATTCTCAAACAGTAATTGCATGTGGCATTCATAAACCCAGCTGTGAAATGACAAATATGGTTTTCTCCTACACTGGCTTCTGCATAATCCAAGTCTTCTAACTCGAATGTAACTCCTATTTCCCACCTGACAAATGTCCTTGCAAATGCACATGGGCACCACAAACCGGAGTGAGAAACTACATGCATGAAAGGCCTCAAGATGACATGGTCAGGTCGAAGGTGGCTGCACTGTGCCTCTGCCTCTTAATTTGCTTAGGGATAGTGTGAAAATTCATCTTCATTTTCTTGTGTTTAAATCCTTAGACCATTAAGTACCACATGTGCAACTCTATCAACTAACACCTTGAAAGACTATTTTCAAATGGTTTAATTTTTGTTTTGGTAAAGCTGTTATACTTGGACAAAGTAGATTTTGAGGATGGGAGTACTACAGCCAACTGCTTGTGGAGGGCTGACAGCTCTGCGAGACAAGTTGTTGTGAAACACATCTGACTGGTAACACGGATGGCAAGCATCTGACAACAGCTGGATTTGTGTGCAAGTATGGAAATCCCCATCGATAATTTTATCCATGTTCCCCATGGACAACCATCAACTGTTTCCACATAATCCCTGTGTACAAGTGAGACAAAAAGGATTTGGTCTAATCTCCTAATGAGTAATTTCAAATACTCCCATGTCGAAGAAGTCACCTGATATGTTGCTGTTGTTGGCTAAGAAGGTATCCCTGCTACATCCGTGCAGCATGATGCATCCTTTTAAAATAGTATTTCACCTGTTGCTACACTTGAAATCACTTGTTATGACTATTTCTAACTACTGGCGTTACGAAAGCCTAAGTATTTCACCCATGAACAGGGGACCCCGAGCAGGGTCCGTGGAAAAATAAGCACGACACACACCCCCCTCCACCCATGTGGCTCTACGGAGCCTCAGAACTGCCATCGTTTTCCAGGAACTGACCCCTAATTTCCTCTGGGGCAAAACCAGCGGGGGGTTCGGACTGGTCTGCGATAACCTCCCCTGTCCCCAGCGACGGGCCCCGCGGGCGCTGACGACCGTGAGCGCGGGGGGCCAGCTGCCTGCACCGCTCACCCTCACCCTCCTCACCCTCACCTTCCTCCCGGCGCCCTGC